ATTATATTTGTTTTTTGTTTCATATTACTAAAAATTTTTTATATTAAGATTTGTTCATTTGAATATATATTTTATTCTCTATATAGAATAATATAAAAGTTTTTATTTATGTTCTTGTTACATATTTATATAAAGATCAAGGAAAAAATTCAATATAGATCAATATATAAACTCTTAAATCGCATTGTGTATAAATCAAATATTTTCCTTAAGAAAAATGATATACCTAATTTAAAATTTGTATTTGTTTATTATTACTAATAAGTTAAAAAAATTTTTTTATTAATATAATATATAATATAGTCATAAATTAAAAATCTCGATAATTAAAAAAATACCAATACTTTAAATTTTCACAATTAATTTTTTTGAACTTTTTCAGTTAAAAAAAAAATATGAAAAAAATCAATATTTTTTAGATATTGATTCAGAACTATAATATATAATAATCATGCATATCAACAAAATACTTATTTTTTAAAAATTTTATTTAGATAAACACAATTCGTAATTTTTATTATTTTTTTAAAAAAATTTGTATTTTAATATTGTTAATAAATATGTGAATCAAAATTGATATAAAAAAAATGATTTCTTTAAAAAACATTCCAAAGATAAAAAAATAGCATTCTAGACCAAAATTAAGATGAAGAATTAAATTTAAAAAATTTTCTATCCTAAATTCTAATTTCTTTGTTAATATTACCCGTATTCAATATGCGAAAAAAATATATAATGTATTTTGTTTCAAATAAATAATTTGAATTTTGCTCTCATTCATATGTCAATATTGTTAAGTCGAGTTTACATGATAATATCCTATATATTTATCAATTAATATCATAGTTGATATTGAATTTTTATAAAATAATTATAATCATTCTTATAATATAATATTCTTTTTAATTTGAAATAAATAATAATAAAAATAAAAAATTATTTTTTAAACGGAAGAATATAATATTTTTTAAACGAAAATAACTTATATTTTTTAAAAATAAAATCTCTAGCATAAAACTGTTCAGTTCTCTATATATTATTGGCTGCAGTGATATTACTAATATTCTGCATTACACCGTCTAGACGTGCGTATCGTATAAAAGATTGTGTCTATAAAATTGTCTAAAAAAAAATGTCAGCAATGGTAAGTTTTAAGTTCAAAAATTATTATTAAAAAAAAGTATTTCGTTTCATTTTTTTATATATATTTTGTATGTTATGTTTTATATTTAATTGAACATATATTTAGAAAAAATTTGTATCATCCCCTCTTTGTTTCAAGTTTCATCAATAACATGTACCTATGATCAATATTTGATTTAAAATTTATTTTTTATAGAGGATGAAAGCAGTAAGATGTCCTACTGATGAACTCAGTATTACAAATTGTGCTATAATCAATCCAGATGATTTTCCAGATGATATTAGGTAAAGATATCTTATGATTTATTCATTGATTTGATACCTATAATAAGATTTAAAACTTAAATAACTATATATACATGTAATGATTTTAGTAAAACTTTAAATTAAATTAAATTGAAATATATAGTTTCTATATTTTATTTAGAATTATTTTCAATTACACCAATTACAATATTATATATATATTTTAGATATGATTAATAATTTAAAATTTAAATGAAATAATTCAATAATATAAATATTAGAATAATAAAATATAATGAAATAATAAAAATTTATTTAATTCATGATTTTAATTTTAATTTTTACATTCATAGACACATTGAGGTTACTACTGCACCAAATCATCATTTCGTATTTACTGTAAGACAACATCATGAAGTACCTAGAGGATCAGTAGGATTTAGTTTACCTCAGAGAAAATGGGCTACTCTTTCTCTTAATCAAGAAATTGAAGTTCGACCATATCATTTTAATCCTACTTCAAGCACAGAATGTTTATGCGTTATTGTGTTGGAAGCAGATTTTTTACAAAAGAAATCGTATGTATATTATATGGAAAAAAGTTAAAAAAAAAATATATTTCTAATAAAAGAGAAAATAAATAAAATAAAATAAAATAATAAAATAAAATAATTTGAAATAGAAGAAAAATTAGAAAAAAAAAATATTTATTTTAGGACTACTTTGGAACCATATAATACTGATGAAATGGCTAAGGATTTTTTATTTCAATTTTCGGGGCAGGCATTCACCGTGGGTCAGCAGTTAGTATTTCAATTCAAAGATAAAAAAATGCTTGGTCTTCTTGTTAAAAGTTTGGAAGCTGCTGATCTTTCTGCTATAAATTCTGGACAAAATACAGTACCCAAAAAGACTCAAATGGGTCGTTGTTTGGGTAATACTGTTATACAATTTGAAAAAGCAGAAAATTCAAGTTTAAATCTTGTTGGTAAAGCAAAAGGAAAAATAGTTCGCCAATCAATTATTAATCCAGATTGGGATTTTCAAAAAATGGGAATTGGTGGACTGGATAAAGAATTTACTGCTATTTTTCGAAGAGCCTTTGCATCCCGAGTTTTTCCGCCAGAGATTGTTACACAATTAGGTTGTAAACATGTGAAAGGAATTTTACTTTATGGTCCACCAGGAACAGGAAAAACATTAATGGCTAGACAAATAGGAACTATGTTAAATGCTAGAGAACCTAAAATTGTTAATGGTCCTCAAATCTTGGATAAATATGTCGGAGAAAGTGAAGCCAATATTAGAAGATTATTTGCTGATGCTGAAGAGGAAGAAAAAAGAGTATAAAAATATTTTTAATCTTCATTCATTCAAAAATAATAACATCATAATAAATAAACTTTTTTTTTAATTTTCAGCTTGGACCAAATAGTGGATTACATATAATTATTTTTGATGAAATTGATGCTATTTGTAAGTCTCGAGGTAGTGTGGCTGGTAATACAGGAGTTCATGATACTGTTGTGAATCAATTACTTGCAAAAATTGATGGTGTAGAACAATTAAATAATATTCTTGTTATTGGTATGACTAATCGAAGAGATATGATAGATGAAGCCTTATTACGACCTGGTAGATTAGAGGTATTTTTTTTAAATATTAATTATATCATACATTATTCAAAATATATCATGATGAAATAAAATATATATATATATATATATAAATATATAAATATATATATATTTAAAGGTACAAATGGAAATTAGTTTACCTGATGAACATGGGAGATTCCAAATTCTTAATATTCATACATCTAGAATGCGAGATTATAAAAAGATATCAACTGATGTTGATTTAAAAGAATTAGCAGCATTAACTAAAAATTTCAGTGGAGCAGAATTAGAAGGTTTAGTTAGAGCAGCACAAAGTACTGCTATGAATAGATTGATTAAAGCTTCTAGTAAAGTAGAAGTAGATCCTGCTGCAATGGAGAAACTTATGGTTTCCAGAGCTGATTTTCTTCATGCTTTGGAAAATGATGTTAAACCTGTATGTAATTTTAAAAAGAAAATTCAAATATTATTAATAACTTTTAAGTTATTATCTAATTTATTTTATATTGCAGGCATTTGGTACAAGTGCAGAAGCATTAGATTATCTTCTTATACGTGGAATTATTAACTGGGGCAAACCAGTAGCAGAGATTTTGTCTGATGGTAATTTATATATTCAAGAAGCACGTTCTACAGAAGGTTCAGGTCTTGTCTCAGTTTTATTAGAAGGGCCTCCAAATAGTGGAAAGACAGCTCTTGCTGCACAAATAGCTAAAAATTCTGATTTTCCTTTTGTCAAAGTATGTACACCAGAAGACATGGTTGGTTTTACAGAATCTGCAAAATGTCTTTCAATTCGAAAGGTATATACGAAATTAATATTTTATATATATATATAATTATAATATAATATATAATATACAATTTTTTTATAGATATTCGATGATGCTTATCGTTCACAACTTAGTTGCATTTTAGTTGATAATATTGAACGTTTATTAGATTATGGACCTATTGGACCACGATATTCTAACTTGACTTTGCAAGCACTTTTAGTATTATTGAAGAAACAGCCACCGCGTGGTCGCAAATTATTAATACTTTGTACTACGAGCCGCAGGTAAAACATATATATATTTAAATATATTTTTTGTACTAATGTAATAATTATTATTATCTCTATAGACAAGTTTTGGATGACATGGAAATGTTATCAGCTTTTAGTAAAATTCTTCATGTACCTAATTTATCAACTCCTGATCATCTTTTAAGCGTTTTAGAAGAAGTTGATCTATTTAATAAAAATGAAATTGCATCTTTGCACGCCAAACTTCAAGGAAAACGGTATTATTGCAAATTAACAATATTGATTTTCATTTAAATATATAAAAATTATACTTATGATTTTTTCGTATGTTTTTTCCAGAGTATTTATTGGTATAAAAAAATTGTTATGTTTAATAGACATGGTACGTCAAGTAGAGCCAAGTTATAGAATTGTAAAATTTCTTTTAGAACTAGAAGGAGAAGGAGCATTAGAGTAATAAGTGTTTAATATTTTAATTATTTCTGTAGAATTGAATTAGATGCCATTCAGTGGAGTAATACACATACATAATATATATATATTAATACCTATATAATAAACAAAAATTTGCATTTACATATATATGTTATATAAATGTTTTTTACAAGAATTTTTTCGATTTTTTTCAATTAATATAGATTTTATATGCATAAAATCTATATTAATTAAAAAAATCGGATATAATGTGAAAAACATATTACAAATTATAAATTTATATTAATTAAAAAAATTATATAATTCGCGTGAAAAACATTTGTGTCTTATATACTTAAGTAGCATTTGAATTATTCTTAAATATTTATATGTATTTTATTAAAAAATTGCATTTCCTATTATTTTTAAATGACTTTATTAAACATATACTATATATATATTTATTGATTATATTGCTTTCGTATACATGCTGGAACTTTTACAATTTGTTAATTAATTTAAAAAAATGTATAATATAAAATGTAAAAAGAAAAAGATATATATATTCACATATAGTAGGATGACATTCGTAAATAGTGATTTTAAAATCCACAGTTATTTAAAAAGAATGTCATTAAAAATGCGTTGAGTTTTTCAAGATTCAACAGTCGCTTTGAATCGAATGTAAAAAAAAATGTTGCTGGATTATATTTTATTTATTTTTATTTTAATAATTCATTCATTTTTTTTATAAAGCTGAAAATTTGAATCTGGCAATCAAAATAATAATAATAATGATAATAATAATAATAATAATAATAATAATAATAATAATAATAATAAT